TAGCATACTGTACTTTTTTCATGATTTGGATTACATAAATTGGGGGAAAAGTCAAATTAGTGCCAATCAAATGCTCCTCTCTCCCCCTAACTGACCATTTTGATGTTTGAGAGCATCTCCAGGGTTTGTGTGTTGCTATAATTCTGGTGTACAGTCTTATACTCAGTTTGAGCTCTCACGGGCTGACATCCAAAGCACATCACTTTTATGTTTTCAATAAAGCAATATTCCCACAAATCATAAACCAACTTCATTGTTGCTTTGAATCTGGCGCCCCCTCTCGACAATGTGATGAACTACTTAATAAATCCCTCCCGGGAAATAACAGAGGCATTGAAATTCTCCTTTTGTCGCTGAATATTTTAACCGTAGCTACAGTATGGCACCTCGTAATTGTGTTATAGTAAAAATGTCACTGATGTCGACCTAACACATTGGGGTGTCATTATGTTGAGTGCTTCACCTTTTAAGAGATACACACAATACATCCACCTGGCTTTACATGAGAGTATAAGTGTTAGATTAGTCCTTGAAAACAGCAGTCTCAGTTTCTTTCATAGAAATCAAAGAATATTTCCGAGTGAAACTACCCTATTATTACTGTGGTACGTTCCATTGTACATAACATGGCTTTGATACAGCCTTAATCACACTCATATAACCCAGAAAGGCTTAATAAAAACATATCAGCCAGAAGCTTTTGGTACCATAAGAATACAGAAGCCCACTTCAGGGACCCAAACCCCGATACCTTTATCCTCCGAAAGTCATTTCATCTTGCCCCACATCTCCCTGAGACAATTACCTCCAATTTTACTTCAATAACACTCTCCCTTCTCCATCAGTAAACAATCAAATCACTCTATTGTTGAGGGTAATTGGATCTCTTTAAATCAAATCAGCCATTATGGCCCTGATGAAGCTCGCCCTGCTCAGCGGGGGTTAGCTGCACATGAGGGAATGCTGCACAGGAATACATTAACACCTCTGCCTCCCTGGTGAAGATGGCTATATTGGAGGAGCCGTGTAATACAGGTTTATTAGACTGTGCCGTGATCAGCGCAGGGCTTGTTTCCCTCCTTGAGGACATGTTCCAGGTGAAGATCACATTTCAGCACCACGGAAAGAAGAAGTGGGGAGATTGCACTCCAACATGCAGAGTTGCTGTCCGTGTCAGACTTTTATGTAGAAGGTGTCGACACCACCTCATAAAAAGTCAATTTTAATTTGCTGCACAGATCTTTTATTTCTTTCCTCCCCGCACGACTACCTATGATCACTGTGAGAGTACATGAGAGTTAGTACAGGACGTTCCTTGGCTTTACACTTGGCTTGTCTTTTAGTTATATGTACAGTATGCTGATTGAATGTACAACACATTCAGATCAGTCATGTTTCAACTAAATACCTAAAATCTTCAATGTGGCCTTCAGAGTAATTGTATATTTAGTAGCCTTTTAAAAAAAAAGTCTTCATCAGGGTAATGAGAACATCAAAAGATTGAGCTTTTAAGACATGTTAAATGTTGCATTGACGTTAGAAAAGTGCAGCAATTCCCACTTGTTTATATACATCTATAATTAATCAATCTGCTTCTTCTGCAGGCTCTGGGTATCATATCTAGATGTAGAAAAGAGGCCGGATGTTATTTCACTGGAGTGGTGTTTTAGCACAGCTTTGCTTCAGTTTGGTTAAGTGAAGTCTTTGCTTTTATAACTGTATTAATATTTGTTCTGTGATAAAACTGTAAAAAAAAAAACATGAGGCAAAAAATGACATTTCAAAGTTAAGATTAAAAAACATTCTCAAGTGTCTTACAAAAACATCTTACATCAAAACAAACGTAATAAATATCCCCAAAACAAACAACGCGGGAGCCAGATAATGAGCAATGTGTATGTTCGGCTGGGATGTGTATTAGTGTGCATGCATTGCTGTGTGTTTGTGTGTAGTCAAGGTGAGGTGTGTGTGACACTATCAGTCACGCTAGCAGTCAGTGATTACCAGGAGGCAGCGTCTTCCTCTAACAAGGTTTGTTATTAAAGTGTTGGAAATAAGGGTGGCCCATTTCTTTGATTCTTCAGTTTTTTGCAAAACTTCAGATTGCATTTGTTTGTTTTTGTATTTGCTTTCTCTCATTTTCAGTCATTCCCCCTGTTTATATTCCCACTATCTCTAACATGGGTGCCCACTATGCTGTTCCCCCTCCTTTTCCTCTCTTCTTCCATATCACCGTCTCAGTTACTCGCCCCCTATGGGAGGAATGTGACGACGTTGCAGAGACCGATAGGGATATGCTTGCTGTGTGTGTGTGTGTGTGTGTGTGTGTGTGTGTGTGTGTGTGTGTGTGTGTGTGTGTGTGTGTGTGTGTGTGTGTGTGTGTGTGTGTGTGTGTGTGTGTGTGTGTGTGTGTGTGTGTGTATGTGTATGTGTATGTGTGTGTGTGTGTGTGTGTGTGTGTGTGGTGTGTGTGTGTGTGTGTGTACACATATGCATGAGTGTAAGCATATTTCAGTGCTGACAGCAGTCTATTAGAGAATCTATCTGTAAGCAGGAAATACTATTATAATAAACAAACACATGCACGTGGATATATCTCTAAAAATGAAATCGTTATGTATACTCATAACCTTCCTTTTCTTATGACTTAATTCCCTGTAGTTAGTCAGTTAATAAACTAGTCACTCACTATATCACTCAGTCAGTTAATCAATTAATTGTCAGCCATTCATGCAGTAAATTATCTGGCAGTCAGTCGGTAAATTAGTCATGCAGTCAGTCAGTAAATAATTCAGTCACTCACTCAAAAATGAGCCGGATCATTAAATCAAGAAGGAGTTAATGAATCAGCCGGTAAATCAGTCAGCAAACTCTGATTCAAGTCAGTCAAATAATGAGTCTCCCTCTTTGGATGCAGCTTAATTTTATCCCCACAGCCAAAAGACAATGACCGCTTAACCTCTGCTCAGCCTGCCAGCCTGAGATAACACTTTGCCAATTAACTCACAACTCCATTCTTACGGAAAGAGTTTTCGTGTGTCTTCGTGTGTGATTGTGCAAATCTGTATGTGCGTGCACTGCGTATGTGTTGAAGCCTCCCTGTTTTTTAATGAGTGTGCCGTAAATTCAAACGTGCACAACAACAATGTTTGTGGAACAAGGGCACAAACTGTATATAGTCATGCATCCATCTTCTGTTTCGTGAGTGTGTGTTTTTGCCTTCCCTTACCCCATTAAGGTTGAAGGTGTCAGCTGATTTTCCTGCTCTGTGTATTGCTTGCAGCCCAGATCACTTAAACTATTTAGAGGTAATACCAGCGATGGATTTAGCACAAGCCTGTAAGGGCTCCTCGGATGTCAACGATAGATTGTTCGGGGAAAAACATTCAGCATTATGAAAAAAAGGCTCTGATTTGGTTGTGATTGGGTCATATAAAGGAAGGAACACATCTGTAAGCAGTAAGGATGTCTTGTCTTTACTTTTATTTTTCACTGAGACTTAATAAATTCAAAGTAGCACCATGGGATGCAGAAGATTATACCGCCTGATGCATAGTGGCAGTTCCGTAGTTTGACTGTGAAAATGAGTTGTTATAATGCGAAGAAAAAACCACTCAGTGAAACCCATAACTGTTTTTCGTTTATTGCAGATTGAGCATTTTGGCTTCACTTTTTTTCCGCTGCCAGTGAGGATGTAATGGTTTACCTGAAAGAGATTTGACAGTTGATTCAACACTTACAGTAGCACTTCTTTTTTCTTCACTCAATCTGATTCAGCGTTTCTGTTGAGGACTTGCATTTGCAACATTGACTCACTTAGCAGCTTCTCAGTGTTGTACACACACAAAGTGGCATGCACTTTAAATGGCATGCTCTGACACACTAAGCACAGAGGGGAAAGACTGATTCATTCATGTGGAGATGCTCAGCTGACGGAGTAACCCTTTTGAATGTGCATTAGAGAAAGAGCCCTTGTCCTAGTGTTTCTATTGAGTGGATTATGTTAAAAAAGAACCCCAATTTAGCCATTGTTCATTATTCAACAATCACCTCTGTATCCAATTTCCTAGAACATGACCTGCGGGGTGTTTTCCCAGGGGGCCCCAAGATGATTCAAGAGTAATTGACAGGTTTATGATGGTCAGGGCATTTCTTACCTTTTGACTGCCGCTCATGTTTGATGAATCTCCACAAAGCACCTCAGTCAGCACAATCTCCTCTTCCCTCTCATCTCTTCAATTCCTCTCCTCTCCTGCATTCTTCCACTCATCACCCACTGGCTCGGATCTCTCCCTAATTGGCCCCTGTCCTCAGTCATTTTCGGGGATCTCACTTTCACTGCAGGAAATAACAGTTAAATGTTTCCTGATTACAGTACAATAAAGTCCCCTTCCCTCCAAATGCTAGCTTCCATTTTCTCAGGACTCTCACTTACTTCCTTCCTGATAACATCTCCTACATTTCTTAATTACCTCCTCTCTTATTTCATTCTCCAACAACTCATTCTCTAAATGTCAGTTTTTTTTCATTTTCTTCATATGCCAGCCTCTCACTAAAATACCACCAGTCGCCATGTTTATTGGATTCTCAGGATGTTTGGATTAGTGTGTGTGCGTCAGTGGATTTGCAGTGTACCCCCTCAAACTGAAGATTTATTAAGTTATCCACACCGCTCACTTGCTGGACCAGACTTTCGCTGTAAAAAATAGTAGAAGGGCAATTTTACGTTCATGTCAGAGGGGGTTTGAAGTATCTTTACTGTACATGGGTTTTATCATCGTACAGTCATTACGCACACTAAATATAAATGCTTGTCTAAACCCATCCCTTTGTGTGAGTATCTATAAACCCTGAGTCCCATGCATTGTTTTTCACTTCATTTGGAAAACATTTTGTCAAAGCTTGACCCAGAAGCCTCTGTGTTTATAATGTACAATGTGCAGACACAACAATTTTGACAATGTGTTGTGTTCCTCTCCTTCATTTTCTCCATTCAACAGGTAAATATGCCATGCGAGATTTGATCCATCGGTTACCAGGCAGTAGTAGTAGCAGCAGCAACAACAACGCCACCAGCAGTGGGACCTCCGGGACCACCGGACCTCCCAGCAAGGCCATGTCCGACGACACGGTGACTGCCATCTGCTGCGCGCTGCACGAAGTCATCACCAAGAACATGGAGAACGCCAAAGCCCTGCGTGATGCTGGTGGCATAGAAAAACTCATCGGCATAGCCCGCAGCAAAGGAGACAAGTGAGTCGGCAAAAGTTCTGAAACCATAAGTAGTTATTGATTTGTTGAATAACAGGTTAGACAAACTGAAAAAAAAAAACATATAATTTGTTGTGTATCATTGTGTAGGCACTTATCCAAAGGTACGCATTTGGAAACCCTTAAGGCCCATTCGCAGGTTTTGCAGGTGTGAAGTGGCTGAAAGTTGGACCATTTCTCTGTCAATGGTAGATCTCCAAAAATACCTTACAGTGCTTTGAGTGGCTGTAATCTTTACAAGCTCAGAACCAGAGAGAATATAACCTGCATTACAGTGTTAGTGGCACGCCACTGAGCTACAGTGGAACCACAGAGTTCATCCCTACGACTTAAAATAAATGCATTTGCATGAGCCCCAGAATGGGTTAAAAATAAAATCCTCATAGGATGCTAATACAAATCTGAAGAAAAAATATGTATTGTAGGTTTACAGAAAAGTATGCCATGTGTATTTATAACCCCAGAACAGATGTGCCTGTGCTGCTGTGAAAGTGGTTGTTAGGTCATGATGATGATACGTACAACTAGATTTTAAAACCGGGATAATTTCCTCTCAGGAAAGGTGAAGAACACTTACTGTAACTCTCAAAGCAAAAGCATTGGTTTCTGACACAGAAATAAAAACAATCAGGTGGAAAGTATACTAAATGCTAAATTGTATATGCACTTTTGTCTGGGTAATGTTTTGATTTGATCTGTCTTCCCTCATAATCAAGGCCAACCAGCCCTGAATAACTGAGCCTGAACCCTGATGTAAATCCCAGAAAAATATATAAACAGATTCTCAGTGTGGTTTTGCGCCATACCTGTCAACCCATCATTCAGCCCACCCTGTAGCCTCAGTAGTGACCAGGTCTTTAATGTGGCCCTGCATCCATCACTCATCGCTGCACCTGCCTCCCTCTGACCGCTCATCCACAGACGCTGGTCAGAGAACAAAGAAGATGCAGCAGGAATATAACCCCTGTCGCCATGGGAGACCCTGCAGGGTGTTCTGCCTCGCTGCTATGGCAACTACTATGTCAGGGTTTGCCATGACGCCCGAGTGTTATCAGACGCAGGTCAAATGTTCATTTACGGTTATGAAGAGAGACTCAGTCTGCTCAGGGAACGGTGCTCAGGGGGGCCATTACAGAGAGAGATGAGCTTCTGCAAGGAACCTTCTTACAGCCAGCGCACATTTCACAGGGAGGGTGGGTAGCTGCTAATGGCCCACACATCTTCATTTCCCCACGATAGGTACACCGAGGATAAAAGCTCCTTATCAGCAGAGCCATAATACATTAACATAATCACACACTCTCATTTTGGGAAATTGTCCATTGCAGCATTTTTACAGACAGCCACTGTTTACTAACTTATTTTCAAACTGAAAAATACAATTAATGGAAAAAAGAATGATACGTGTGTAAATATTGCCTCATTCTTGGCAAAAGCTGACACTTATTGCGTAAATCAAATACAGTTCATATCATATGTTCATAATCTTGCAAGGATTACAATAGTTAATAACATTTGAGGTTGCATGTTATTATCTTGTTATCGCCTTATTCACGCATTACTGTGATTCATTCCAGTGAAATTGGAGAAGGCTCTGATACTATAACCTCATACTGGATTTAAATCTTTAAAACCATTTTCTGTTGTTCTTACTGATGATAAAAAAGAAGCCTGTTTTCAGGAGGACTTTTGTAAGCGTGGTTGACAAATGTAAAATGAGCATCCTTTCTGCTGCCATCTGTAGCTGTTAGAAAGGCAGGGCTTCTGAACTGACTCCTACTGGAGTCATTTGTCAGCTAAGTGGCAGGGTTGGGACCATTAGCATGGCATAGAGGGTCATTTTAAACTCATCTGGAAACTCTCTGTTTTCCCGAAAGAAAATCATTCTCTGCTGAAATGAGCAATGGCCCCCTTACTCTTAAAGTGGTCACAAGTGCCACAGGCCTCCATAGCTGGTAAAGACAGGGGAAAGAATAACAGAGCAACATTATCCACAGGGAAAGTTCTCAGAGAAATAACTCTCTCCTCTACCTCTCTCCAGACACTCGGCCAAGGTGGTGAAGGCAGCCTCTCAGGTCCTCAGCAGCATGTGGCAGTACAGAGACCTGCGCTCCCTCTACAAGAAGGTAGGACGAAGCACAAACTGTGTGCCCAATTCATCTTACCCTGTTTGTCTCCTGCTAAACCTTCTATTATATTTCCTGTCACTCTCTACCCCAAACAGTACTATTTAGTGCATAACAAATCATTTTTTCACTTTCCTTACTACTACTTTTTGTCACACACTCCAAGGCAAACATTAATCTTCTACTTACTCTCCCGCTGTCATAGACAGCCTAGTATGGCTTCTGGCTGAAGGTATGAGATCCATTCCTGCAATAATAATCCCATTTCTAAAAGATAATATTAACATAAAACATTATTGTAAAACAGAGAAACTAAATCAATCTTCATATCGTCAGATAATCAGCTTGAAGCATAATATCTTGGTTGAATTGACACCATCTATTAATTAATTAGTGCTTTGCAAATCTCCTGGGGATCTGATACAGAGTCATTGATGTGTAATCTCAATAAATTGCACTATGTACCTTGCTATGTCTGGATACCTCTTTGTTGTAGAGAAAAGTAATGCGTTTTAGTCAAACTAAAAGAGCAAGATCTCAATGTTGCTGGCAGTAGCGCTCCTGCTGATTATATTAGGTTTTTGACAGACTGCCTTTACCATTAAAAAGGTAATTAATTGATATGGTGAACTAACCTTGAACTACCTGAGGATGAACTATGTTAAGATGGGGACTTTTCCATTTCACTGCAGCAGGTGTTGAGGATGAATCTCTGCCGGTACTGTATAATGAAGCAATTAAACACAACTGATACACAGTTCAAGTTACCAGTTACTCCTATCTGAATGGAAAGCTGAATTTTTTTTATTTGGACTGCTGAAGATTTAAGAACAACTTGTATGTTCTAATATACTAAACTGAAACCTCACTGGATGAATTTCGCCTTGTTTTTTGCCCAGGACTATGCCTTGTCAGGATTTCCTGTTGTCTCCAGACTCAGTGAGAAGTGATGCTGCTAAGCTAATTTCATTCTGCTATCGACAACCCAGCCAGACCTTGGCACAAACTCCCACTATCAGTCAGCGTTTTGTTGAGGTTTATGGTATTGATTTGATGTTTACAAAATATACAACTGGGAGAAATATGACCATGAAACTATCATCTTCATCACTGTGAGGGTAATTTATTATAACCGCAAAATCATGCCTAATGTGCTCGATTATGAACGCCCTGAGTCATGTAAGACAGTATAAAGAGTTCATGACTGTCAACCAGGAGGCCGCAATTTTTGAGCTATTTAAAGTTACATTACAAAGAAATTAAGTTATTTTAACCCAATATTTTACATAATCAAGTAGTTTTGTTGGCTTAACATTAACGAGGTGTTTGTTTTGAATCCAAAATGTTAACACAGGTGTACTGCAAAGGTAGCAGAGCATTATGGGTTGACTCGTAGTTTGATACAAAGTTGGGAATAGGAGGGTTGGTTGTTTGCGGTTGCTTTACTTTTGAATGGTTTTGAGGCTTGTTTTGTGCAGTATATATAACCATTGTGTGTGTATGGAGGGTTTTGTTTCTTTGTCTTGAACTGTGTGCGCACGCTTTGGCCTTGAGGTCAGTCATAACCACCTCCACACACAAGAATAATGGAGCTCAGTTGGGAACCTTCACAACTCAGCAACATTGTTTACAGAGGCAGGTGGATCAATACCTTTGTGTTAGTCTCTAGCCTATTCTTTTTTTTTCAACACATACACAGACATACAAACAAGCTAACATTGTGCTAACGGTTATTTAGTCCATCAGCAAGACTGAATGGCGTTAATGCTGCTGGCTACAGGGAAACTGCAGCTCATTATTCAGTAACTTGTAACTCACGGAGAATGGCACAAACAAGAAAGTAGTGAGAAAACTGAATAAGGTGTAGAGAAATGATGAGCTGTGTGTGTGCTGCTCCCACTCAGACACACTGTTTTATCTGTCTCTTTCACACACAAAAAAAACACAGTTGAAAACCCACTTTGTCCTCCCTTGGGATCTTGTGTTCCTATATAAATGACAAAGGTCCACACACTCGTGCATCGTGATTAATAGGTAATGACAGATGTTCTGTTCCTCTCACTTGTAATGAGTGTTTTGAATGAATAACTTCAACCAAGGTTATCTTCCATTCAGCCCGCCAAAGCCTTAAATGTGCGTCCCATTAAGATGCAGAAATATTAAGTAACACATTCCAAGTAGGTGTCCTTGGCTTTGTATGTGTTATTTCATCTCTGTGTGAAGGGAACAAAAACACTAAGGAACTTGTTTTTTCATGTCTTGGAGATGCATGTTTGTATCAACAACTTCAGCTCTGCAATGCTTGCAATGAGGTGTTCTAGTCGACTACCTTCCGAAGCCCTATTCCCAATTATTTAATCTGTTTTGTGGGCAAGTATGTATATAATAAGTATTGTCCCAATTTCAGCTTTTAATGAGAACTTTGTTGAAAGACATTCAGGAGAACACCAAGAGAGATTAATCGAACCACTACATGCTTCATTTCAACAAGTAATTTCTTCTTTTGTTGCTTTCCTCCTCAGATACTCTTGAATATCAAGTACCCGCACTTCAGTTTTCAAAGATCTTGTTAAACCTCTAAACATGAGGAAGACTGAGCCCTCATTCTACAAACTAATGAACAAAAACAACATTTTTCAAGGTATAATTGCATTAGAAAGAAGAGAAATACATTCGTGCCCACATGAAATGGTCTTCCACCTGATTTTATAGAAAAATATATTCGACCCAGAATGAAATCCAGTGAATTCCTTGCATGATGACTCTGCAGAGGGCTGTCCAAGCCCCAGACTTCTGACTGCAGTCACTTCAGGACAGGCCGCCCCGTGGCATCAGCCTCTGCTCGTCTCATCCTGACGACTGTGGCCTCTCTCTTCATTCGTCATCCTCTCATCCCAAGTATCCCACTGAACGCGCCCCTTGGCGCCTCATCTGCTTCAAACTTCTCTAATCATTGCCACAGAACAGTGTTACACTCCAGCTATCAGACGTGAAGACATTGGCTTTTCTTGGCACCTAGAAAAAGGTTGCCGTCTTTTGTGACTACTTATTTATTTGTTAATTACCTATCTTTACCTTAGGAGCCTTTTTTTGACGGAAAAAGGATTTGATAAATGCAGATATTAAAAGAAAGACTTGCGTAAGATTGACACACAATCAATCTCTTTGTTTTGGATCTGTCTCATTTAAACCAGATAATTACTGAAAGACAAGACTTCTCACTCCCAAAAATGTATCCATCATCTTTAAATTGACGTAAAATATCATCTGCAGTCTGTCCTGTTTTAGCCACCTGTACTTTAACATCATTTAGATCAAAAGCCTGCTTAAATTACGCTGTTATCTAGAACTACTTTTATTCAAAGCAGCACAATTTCAATTGTCTGACAATGTTGCTCTAAAAATAATTTTTAAATCCTGATGGACACCATACCTTACTGTTTACTTCCTGATTTCTTCCATGTACACAGCTCGGTAATTGACCAACCTTATTTTAAAACTGTGGAAAGTGTTGCGTCACACTTTGACTTTATCACCCAAGTCCAGAGCTCGCAATAAATGACTATCCCTGCATGACGTATTAGGTCATGGGTGTTAGCTGCAGCAAAAATCCTGTTAGTCTCCAATCCAAACATGGATTAGCATACAATTTAGACGAGAGTGGAGTCGGATGTCTCTGCAAAATGTTTGTGAGCAAAGGCGAAGAAAGATAGATCCACCAAAGAGGAAAGAAAAGCGAGGGAAGTAAGGATAGAAAGTGAGGTGAATGCTTGAAATGTAACAGTTCAAAAATAAGCATTTCTTAGTTATGTGTGTGTAGTTTTAGAAAAGGGGTGTTGGGTCAATAATGAGACAGTTTGAGCTGTGTTGGCGAAGGGTTGTTTGCTTTGAAGTCCTGAAGTAATGAGAGCATTTTGAAACATACTTCCCATCTGTGTAGTAGTAATAGACTGGGGTACATGTTTGTTTCTGTGTGTGAGTGTCTTTGAAAAAGTGTGTTTTTGTCAGACGTTAGTAAGAAGAGTTAATCACTTCCTACAGCAGTCTAGTCTGGGAAAGACGGAGAGAGAAAAAAAAAAATGCAACAGAACGGGGCTGGGCTGCCCGGCAATATAAAACCAAAAGATGAGAGACCATAAATAAACAGTAAGTCGGTATTAAAATAGCGTCTGAGATGACTTGAAAGATCAGTGGTGTAGCAATCATCAATAAACCAAAGCAAAAATCTGTTTGTAGCAACACTAGCACTGACTTTAAGATAAATCATGTATCACAGTCTCCGGAGTGCAGTAAAACTTTTACCCAAGTTTACTTGGATTTTTGACAGGATGTGTCCTCTTTCTGTGTGGTGTGGTGTGTGGTGTGTGTGTGTGTGTGTGGTGTGTGTGTGTGTGTGTGTGTGTGTGTGTGTGTGTGTGTGTGTGTGTGTGTGTGTGTGTGTGTGTGTGTGTGTGTGTGTGTGTGTGTGTGTGTGTGTGTGTGTGTGTGTGTGTGTGTGTGTGTGGTGTGTGTGTGTGTGTGTGTGTGTGTGTGGTGTGTGTGTGTGTGTGTGTGTGTGTGTGTGTGTGTGTGTGTGTGTGTGTGTGTGTGTGTGTGTGTGTGTCCTGTTTCATTCATCTAGTCCCTAGGAGGGAAGCCACAGGTCACTTTGTGAAAAAACAAATCATTCCTAATAGGAACACAAGGACAAAATGATCTGTTTCCTTTAAACCAACATATGTTCTATTTCTCCCTGGCTCAAACCAATGAGCAGAACACTGATTGTAATGCTCTATATTCACACATTTACACACATACCTTGCCTCATTTCTTGATAAAAATAATCTTTCTTGGGGACTTAATCAGACATACTCTCTCTCTATTTTCCACACACACACACACACACACACACATTATTCTCATGTCACACACATGTCACACAAATCACAGAAACAGATACAGGCGTATGACAGACGGGGTTCAAGGTCAGAGAGATGCTGTTCGTCGATTTACAATATGTTCCAGGGATGTGTAGTTCAGTATGTGGGTGTGTTTGTGGAATAGGATTGAGCGATACATTTGTGTGTGCTGTGAATGTGTGTTTTCATTGATTGCACAGCCTTGCCATTCGCAGACAATTATTGAATTCAAAATGCCCAGAATGTTCCTGTAAAATCAAAGGAATACATTCTTTAAACATGTCTTGATTTTTGAACATTACCCAATGAATGCTCCAAGACTAGAAAAATAAACATCTACTTTTTTGATAATCAATTAATTGTTTAAGTCATTCTGCAAAAAATTGCAGATTTTGCTATTTTCAGCCTTTCATTTGCGGTGATATTCTGAGTTCATTTTGTTTAATTTAGTTAAACTTAATATCTTTATGCTCACAATACCAGACATGTAAAGAGACGACCTTGTACATTGAGAAACCAGGTATACATTGTTCACTATTTTCTAACATTTTATATCATTTTTCTTCCAATATTTTGTTTGTACAATCGTTCGCACAGTTTGACTCTGAGCCTGATTTTATTGATTTTTAGACTGTAGAATTTGTGACAATCGCTCAAACACACAGTACTTTTAATGATTTGTTGCAAGAATGAAAAGATGACGTGCCTTTCGTCTAGAGACAGCTAAAACGAATTCATCATCCACTGCCACACAGCGTAAACAGGGAAATCAGCTAGAAAGAGATGAAAAGCTTCAGTCGACATCAAACCTAGCTGAGGCCTCAGAGGCTGCCTCACTCTGATGTTCACCTGTAGGAGACAGTGATAGACAGACCAAGAGGAGATGGGGGGGTAGTTGATATAGCCTTCTCAGTGGAGGCTAACAACAGTATTTACGGAAGGCTAAAAGCAGAAATGCAGTACACTCTTATGGTTTTCTTGCCCTTTCCAATAAACACAACAGTAGCAGAAAGGTCAAATCCTAAATCAACAGAACCACAAGCAACCAAAATAAAGAAAGCAAAGGTCAAGGTTACATTATTCCAGGGGGGGTAGACGGATCACGTGTGAGTGAAGAGCTCGCTGCTATAAATCTCTAAATCTGAGTGTGAAATAAGTGATAGAGAGAAATGGATTGAAGGGCTGAAAAATGACAGTGTGCCGTGATGGCCAAGGCCCAGAGGGGAGCCCCCCCACTCATCATGTGTAACCTTTTACAGTTTCTGCCATAATTGCTGTCTGGCATGAGCGCCGCCAGACACACACACACACACACACACATCTCATTTGTTGGGGCAGTAATCGCTATTTTCCCCCGACCTTCAACTTACCATCCAGTGATGGTGAGAGCAACAGGCGAAATGGTTGCCTGGCAACACTTTTTTTCTGCTCTCATTTTTGCTGTAGGGGCGTTAAAGGGTGTGTGTGAGATAAAGGGATGGGGGTGGGTGATGGGGCACCAGAGAGCTGATGTCTACAGGTGTGGAGACACATGGTTAAGTTACAATGTGAGGTTACACAGTACGCACACATTGCACCTCGGACAAAGTGCAAAGTGAGGGGGGAAAAGCTGCTGTCGGATTTGGTCCCATATTAAATTTTGATGTTGATTTAATATTTATTGAACACATTAAACCCGACTGGCTGGCTGGCTGGCTGGTGGGCCAGACAGCACACACTCATTTATGTGCCAGGAAACAATATTGTTTTACATTTGAGTGGATTCCACAAAGTTTTCAAAGAAACTGAATTATGAAGAATAATGGATTTGACTATTTTACCTAATAAACATGACAGAATCAAGAGCCGGAACAAGCTGGTACAGCATATGCATTATCCTGTGTGCAATACAATGTTTTTTACAACCTTAAAGCTACTTGTAGGCAAAGTTATGCACACATCTCTATGACATGTGTGGCTGTGACAGAACATGTTTATATATCCTCCTCTGTACGCTCTTCTCCAATTAGTATCACTCTTGTGAATTCATTTATTGTAGAGTTGAACTATTCCCTGTTTTGCTCGGGGGCCCCCTTAAGGAAGCCTGCGGATCATTACTGGCCCCCATTTGTGCGCCACAGTTATGGGTGGCAGACAGCACACCTCACTCTGCAAAATACATTTGTCATTCAATATTCAGCGACGGTGTTTGAGCAGCAGGACACTTTGTCCAATTGCGCTGGACCCAGTGTTCCATAAGGAGGTTACATGGTGTATAACGAGATGTGTTCGGGGGGGGGAAGGAGAAAGAGAATGCAAAACAAGGTGAGTGAGGGGACCAGAGGAGATGGTGATAAATAGATTAAGCTGAATGAAGGAAGGGAGCTACCTTTGAACTACTGTGTGTCAGATGATCCAGCTTTCTGTCAGTCCTGTGCCAGGAAACAGAGTCAGGGGAGGACATGGGACTCAGTCCAGCCTTCCCTCTCTCTCTGCCTCTCCATCTACCCCTCTCCTCCTCTCGCTATCTTTGCACTCCTGTCATTACTCTCCCTCCATCTTCCTCCTCCTCATTACTTTCTGTCATCTTTTGTCTTTCTCAGCTTCTACCCTGTCTCCCCCCCTCCCTCATCTATCTGCCCCGTCTCCTCCATCTCTCATCCTCCAGTCTTACTGTACTGAAGTGATTCACCTCTCCTTTGGACTCAGTCACAGCAGCCTAACCACTGCAGAGCCCCCAGGCACTAAATGTATGATGGAACATGTCTGCGTTGGCTTTTATCATGTGCATGCGCTGTCCCTTCAGAGGTACCCAATTATCTAAATGCTAAATTGAATTTGGTTCCAGCTCTGTGATTGTTGTTGACTTTCATAATCCATTTTTATGAAAAGGGCTTTGCTCCAATCACCGCTAAACTAATACAGAAACAAAGCTATTATAATTATGCTTGTGGATTTGTTAGTTGTTTTTATTTTTGTTCTACAGCGACAGTGGGATTTTTACTAAGCTCAGGCTTGATGCAAGTGTTTCGATTTGTGGTGTATGTGTGTAATGTGTGGGTTAGGCAAGATGGCCAGAATTTATGGTGGATTCACCTACCCCAGTGGTAAACCCAATAAATATAATATTGATATTTCTCAACAAAATATTCATGTTTTAGTTAAACATGCAGACTTCAGATGTTGCTCTTCAGCTGAATCAAGAGCAAACACTTTCCATTTCCTGCCAGGTATAATTTGTCATAACTTTCATAAAAAAACACATATATTTGTTTCAAATGTTGCAAAGGGAATGGACCATGTGACAGTAGACCTCTCTTTGTACACATCGATGTATAATGTGTTTCACTGTGAACACTAAACAAACAAACTGAATATTGGTCTTGGAAGACGAATGATAAACAATTTCTTCTTTGTTTGTGTTTGTTTTGCAGGATGGTTACTCCCAGTATCACTTTGTGGGCTCTGCCTCAACGATAGAGAGAGACAGACAGAGGCCCTACTCCTCCTCACGAACTCCCTCCGTCTCCCCCGTCAGGACGTCCCCCAACAACCGCTCTGGTGAGGCACATATGACATTTACTATGAATAGTATATACTGTATTATATGCTTCAGTGTTTGCGTGTTTCCCTTCTTCTACCTCAGCTTTCTAAACATCACATGTTGCAAAGTGATTTTCCCCACCTAAAGAAGTTTTAAATTAAGAGATTAGAAAAAATAAATAATGATCTGGCAATGGGGCCTTAAGAAGTTCAGGTGCCACAGTGGATGACTCTCAAAAATAGACCATTTATACCCAAACAGCAGTTTCCATGGCAGGAGTTTTCCACAGCAAATCATCCACCCGCCCTCAACTAATTTAAGGTCTTGTAATAATTTGAATTTGAAAACTTACATTTGGATGAAAGTGAAGCAACATTAAAGTGGACCTATCATGCTATATTTGAATAATATAGTGTAGGACCATACCTATATAAGGCATATTTATACTTTTTTTTTTTCAAAATACCAAACAGATCATGCATTTTAGCCATGCCTCATTTTGCTCAATTTGACATTTTTTAGCTCTGTTTTTGCAAGGGCTGATTCAGTGAGAACAGCACCATCTACTGGCCTGGCATATGTACTACAGCGTCTCCAGCGCTTTGAACGGCAATGGCCGTGGCTGTCTCCTCCTGATTGGTGGAGTTGGCCCAATAGCCGTAGCGCCACCGTCCTGACGTCAGGACAGTGTTCAAATCTGGATCAGTTTTTATCAGATCCGTTGCAGCCCCTTTTTTAGAGATTTGGGTATGGAGGAAAATAGAGAGGGTTGTGTTTTCTGACACTTGGTGAGTTCCCTGGAACACCGGGGACACATATTCATATATAAAAGACGTACAAAAGTGCATTTTGCATGATAGGTCCCCTTTAAGATAAGAACATTTGAAATGGTTCCTTTGGTGAGTTTCTATTATTTGATTGATTTAGTTTTACTTCTAATGTCAGCATGTTGGTAGATGTGGCATGGTACGTATTAAAGCAATATGAGATAATGAACTTAAATAAACGTAATCAATTAATAATGTATACGTTGTTTCTTTAAATCGTTCAACAACAGAAGTGTTAAACAGAAAATGGTGCTTTTACGGTCAGTTTCATAATACATTCGAGATTCTACAGTCAGTTATAAATGATTTTTTCACTTGTGAAAATGGTCCACCTTTTTGGAATTGAGTTAAGCAAGAGGTGCAAAGATACAACTAACTAAGACTTAAGATAATGAACACATGTATGTTGGACATGAGTGTAAACAGAAGGTACACGTCACACATGGATTCTAATGAGCTCTAACTTCAGACATTTAGCCGATCAGTCTAAATAGCTGTGCTCTCCTCACTCAGGCTTTCATGCTGTATAATTATGGTTAGCCTTTAGCTGGAGCCCATTGGCCTTCATGCTTAGCAAAGGGCACATTAGCATTAGCTGTTAGCATCGGTAGTAGAAGGGCCTTCAGCTGAGCTTTCTCCTCACCGGGCTTAGCAAGCTGATGAGGCAGAAAAGTACTTTTCCTTCCTCCCGGCTTAGAGAGGTCTTCAAGGACCCGGCTAAGAGAGAGACAGAGGGAGTGAGAGAGGGGGAGAAAAGTGTGTATTGGTGTCTGTGTGTGAGGAGACAGAGAAAGAGGGAGGGAGAAGATAAACAGCGAGGGAGATAAAGAGAAAAAGCAAGGAGGCAGGAAGAATTAGGGATTGAGGGATGGTTAATGCGGTGAGAAGGAAGTGAAGCATGAGGATTTGACTTTGGCAAGCGACATTGAAAATAAGGAGTTTTGAGATTGTAGTGCGGAGAGAAATGTGTGGATGCCAGTGGAGGAGGTCAGAGGAGGTGGGAAATATCTCCTCTCCCTCTCTGCTCTCCTCGTCTGCCCCCTCGTCTTTCCACTCTACCGCCCCTTACCGTTCACCCGTTTCATTCTTCTCCTCCTCTCTGCAGTAATCCTACTTTCTTCTCACCTCTCCCTCTGATCTCTCACTCTTTACAGGCTGCCTCAATACCCCCCCACACACACACACACACACACACCCCCGCATGCATCTGTATCTCCTCTTTGCATACGCTCCAGACTGCAATCCGGCCCTTAGAGATGGATCAAAGCAGAAGGAGTAATGATGGCGTGCAGGCACACTGGGAGGGGAGGAGAGGAAGAGTTAGTGTAAGGACAGAGTGGAGGAACCATGAGAGAGATAGACGGGAGTAAGGGAGGTTTACAGGCTAAGAGGAAGAGAGAGAAACAAAGGAGGAGTGAGACCTCTTTATCGATCATGCCCCCACAGGGTCCTGCTGTGTTTTGCACTGATAGAACGAGTCTCCCAGCTTCTTATATCCTGCGGTTAAAGCCAGGTCCCCACGGTAACTATAACAAGTAGTGATGGCGGTGTCTCCCGCGGTGTGTGACAGCTCTGAGCATCCGCCTTAATAGAATTCGCTGCAGAGGTGACAAATGCTGAAAATTAAATGTCAAAAGTGTCAAAACATTATAAAAGCCTGTAGCTCCTGTCTCCCCTGTTTGCTTTGCTAAATGTTTGAAATGTAATTCAACACAAGCATTTTTTTGGACAAATGTGCGTGTGCGTGCATAATAGAATATCTTGGTACAACACGGAAAGGCTGAGTAACAGAGACAAGGTTAGGATGCTACTTTGCTTTTTAATGTCAAACTTGAAGGGTTGGTTAAAGTCATTTCTTTGAAATTACATTACTTTATCTGTTTGAATACCAAAGTCCCTCCAGAAATGTTAAACCCTTTATTATATCATGCTAGTCACATTTGTCACACGCGTGTTTTGCCCCGCCGCTATTATCTGGGTATAATAGAACAGCCAAAGAGAACAAAGACTTTTTTATCCTGATTTTTGGCGAGCCAAAAGCCACACACACGCATACTCACACACGCATGTATTGAGAATTGAAGCAAGTGTTTCTCTCCAATAGCTACAGTCCTCATCTGCAATCCTAAAAGCTGAGTTAAACGGGTCTAAACAGCTTGTGTTTAGAATGTCCTTCACTTCTGGAGGGATATATACTGTGTGTATATATTCACTGCATGTGTGTGTACGGCAGGCAGTTACAGAAATGTTTAGCTAAGCATGACTAAGGGTCTGATACACAGGTAGGCAGGATTCTGGCAATTCAATGTGTCAAGATAGCAGGGACTGAGTAAGCACCATAAGTATGCTATAAGGGGATTACATTGTGACATGCTGAGTGTGTACTGTATGTGCGAGAAAGTGGAATAAATACAGTGCATATATATTATGTGTGCTGTGTGCGTGTATGGGTGCACACAGGCATGTGTGTGATGATGCGTTCATGTGTGTAAAGTAGATGAGTAGATCTAAACGCTTGAGAAAGTGACAGACAGAAATAGTGTGAGGTTTTAAAACTGAAAATAGGAAAAGGAATAGCATTTATTGTCACAGTAACCGATAAAATAGCTGCAACGATTACCCGACCACAGGAAACACCTCCCATCAGTTATATCTTGGATGACATTGAGAGTGCATGGGAACTATCAAATACATTTAGATAGCAAAAAAACTCATAAATCAAGAGATAAGCACACATTTCCACCATGTATTGTATAAAACATTTTGTAAGATTTATATAATTAACACTGTTAAATACCATCTATTTTTAAGTCTATTAAAACAGAGCACATAGGGAACATGATGCATGGGGTTGATTGCAGCGTACTTGAGCTCATTGGATTGGGAGGTTGGGATTACTCACACAGAAATGGAAACTAACATCTACTGCGATTTTCCATCCACTTGCCATCCAAAGTGGATCGGTAGCAGCACTGTGATTTTCTGTCATTACTTATTTTGGTCCAGACATTTTGCGTAAGTCCCAACTATTTTGGCAGTATGAAGCAAGACAAATACGCAACAAAAGGGAAGAGAAAGAGGGTGAAACTTGTCTGACAAAACTGGTCATTATTTGGCCTCAACTTGAAGATCTGTCAGCTATAGAAACCTTTATATTTGATCACCATGACAATTATTTTTAACATGGCTTGGAACGTACTCCATCATTGGCGTACCTGTATGTATTTGTTGTATTTCTGTTGCCTGAGAGCTCTACTTTTTGCAGGATTTGGGTTTACATTACTAGTCATGACATTTGTCATCCTTTATGAGGACCAAAGAATAGAGTGGCGAAGTCCCTCCCTTTCCGGTGGGCCTCCATAGGACCTTATTTTGGAAAAATTATGTATTGAAGTCAATGACGAGAGAAAGATTATCTTTCGATCCCGTTTGAATTGTGCCACGAATTACACATATGATGTTTGTCAATTTAAAAGAAAATTTTGCAAGTCAAAAAAATAAAAATGTGTCGTAAAACTGTGAAGTAACACTTTTTTTGTGTGAAACCGCTCAATGAACTACATCTCCCGTCTCGCACCACACACCAAGACGGCCGTCACGTTGGCACATCTCACTTCTTTCTTTCAGAATGAGGCGGAAAGTATTAAAAGAGGTGAAAATCACTACAAGTCTGGGCATGTTGAGAGCTGTACATACACACAAGGGGAGTTAGTCGGTTCGTAAGAGCCAGCATGCGGGACCGGGATTCTGGGATTTGTAGTCTTTCTAGTTGCGTATTTTTCATAGTCTTATATTTCAACAGTTTTAAGACAAACTGTGACTTTTTTGACATGGAAATGATTTTTTAAGATTGACAAACATCATATGTGTAATTCGTGGCACAATTCAAACGGGATCGAAAGATACGTTTTCTCTCTCCATTGACTTCAATACATAATTCTTCCGAAATAAGGTCCCATGGGTCGGAAGAAGATGGGCGGGACTTCGCCTCTCTATAAGACTGTGTGTGTAACAGAACCATGTCCAGTGATCACAAGCAGATACGAGCTGACTGTATCAATCTGTGTTCCACCGGTCAAGTCTCAGATCTGGATATATCTTTTGATATTTGGTTGTGGTTCCTGAATTGAGAAAATGTGTACCACATACACATTTGATATTCAAATAATGTATTCAAAACCTGGTGTGTGTATGAATTCCCAAAAGTCCTTGATGGAGGTGACTCCTTATGCTGACAAGCTAAATGATGAATAATGACTGTGCACCTTGAAAGACCGCGACACACACACACACACAAATATAGGCACGCCGAGTTTGAATGTACATGCTGTTCAGGGATTATTGCTCATTATTGCGTGTGTGTGTGTGTGTGTGTGTGTGTGTGTGTGTGTGTGTGTGTGTGTGTGTGTGTGTGTGTGTGTGTGTGTGTGTGGTGTGTGTGTGTGTGTGTGTGTGTGTGTGTTGTGTGTGTGTGTGTGTGGTGTGTGTGGTGTGTGTGTGTGTGTGTGTGTGTGTGTGTGTGTGTAGCGAGCGCTCCAGCCTCCCCCAGAGAGATGATGAGTCTGAAGGAACGCAAGATGGACTACGATTCCACGGCAACCAACGCTGGTTTCCATAGCAACAAGGAGAGCACACATCCCGGAAAGACGGCATGGCAGGTGTGTGTGTGTGTGTGTGTGTGTGTGTGTGTGTGTGTGTGTGTGTGTGTGTGTGTGTGTGTGGTGTGTGTGTGTGTGTGTGTGTGTGTGTGTGTGGTGTGTGTGTGTGTGTGTGTGTGTGTGTTGGTGTGTGTGTGGTGTGTGTGTGTGTGTGTGTGTGTGTGTGTGATGGAGAGACGAAATGAATGAAATGATTCTATTTATCTCCCTCTTTATCTTTCTTTCTCTTCTATTTTCACTCTCTACTTCTCCTCTCGCTTTCTCCCCTTTTTTTGTCTCACATTATTTTTCTTCTCTTACTCACACACTTTGATTTTTCTCCATCTATGCCTCTCGTTCTTTTCCAGCGTCTTTCTCTCACTGCTTTTTCACTATCCCTCCTCTCTGTATTTTATTTTGAATTTGAATGATTATTATTAGCATTATTATCCTTATCATTCACTTAACAGTGCTTTCTTTCTCTTTTCTGTCCATTCTGCATCCATCCAGTTCAAGTGTCCTGTGGAACATCTACATTGTTCCGAAACTCTTACCTGACCGCCAGCGATGACATCAAGCAAAGCCAGGTGGGTTAATAAGGACTCTATAAATATACTTCACACTTTACACGTTGGTACGTACAAAAAGTCACACACCAGCACGGCAGGTTTTAGCAGTGCATGCTTGTCGTCAGGGCTCTCATAAATTGGCATATGCTGTCATGACAAGGTGGTTATTAGGAGAGATAGCAGCAGGAAGGAAGATGCACACACACATTCACATAAAAGGTGTCCCACTGTGATAAGAGAGCATGCAGCAGAACCCCCCCCCCCCCCCCAGCTCTGGCAGCGTTGGAAAACTGCAACCTGAAGCCCCACCCTCTGGGCAATTAAAATCATCACCTTGGTTGGTTGCGCTAATGATTTGCTTCTGATGAATGACTCTGCTGGGGAGGAGGGAGGAGTCACAGACAGCAGGATAGCCTCTGAATAGGATTATTACATTGTCAAATTCGTATGTTGGAGCATATGTATCAAATACATCATTCCTGTATAAGTTCCTTTTTTTGGGTAGACACTTTAGGTTTAACCAAGGATGGTTAACTCAACTAAATACCTGACATTTCTGAGAAAAGGGATTTTAACACATACAGTATGACTTCATTTTGAAAAACACACACACACACACAATCACTAACCTGTGTTACAAAGGTAGAGATCAATACGTGCATGTAATAGAGAATTCACAGTAAGAGTTCCTTCCTTCAGGTCTTTCCTATCTTTGTACACGTACTGCCTGCCTTTCTGAAACCTTCTCCCCCATGTGCTCACTCTCCTCCCGCCACTCTCCTCTCCATCTCTCCCCCTTATCTCCCTCTCTGATGACTCTTTATTTCTGCCTGCTGCACTTAACCCCCACCTACCACTTTTCCGCCACTTCAACCCCCCCCCTCCCCCCAACCAGGCTCCAGCCCAGCCCTGCGTCGTGCCCCCTGTGCCCCAGCAGGACAGCCCGTCATCAACCTTGCTAAAAGACTACGACCCCTACCCTCCCCCTCCTTCCTTCCCCCAGCCCCAGCCGCCGCAGCCTCCCCCTCACAGCCAGAGCCGGAGCTTTAATGAAGTGTACTACGAGGACCAGGGACCCCCAGCTCCTCCCTCCCAGCCCCAGCCGCAGGTCCAGGCTCAGGCCCAGCCTCAGGCCCAACCCCAGCAGCCCCCAAGCTCCAGCACCGCCCCCCGGGACCCGCGGGAGGACCTGCGCATGCATCTGGGCCTCAAATCCACCGGCAACTACGTGGACTTCTACTCGGCCTCTCGGCCCTACAGCGAACTGAACTACGAGACCAACCACTACCCGGCCTCACCCGACTCCTGGGTCTAGTCAGACCACGACCATGGGGGGGCAAGAGAGAGTCTGTGTGTGAGTGTGTGAAAGGGATTATTTTTGAAAGAGATCAACATCAGATTATCACAAGTAGACAGCAAGTGGCGTGTTGAAACTGGATCTTGTAGCCAGTGGCAGCACATGTGTGTTCACTAGAAGAAGGGGGAAGCTAGATGGGGTTAAGGAAGGAAGTCAGGTTGAGTGACAAAGAGAGGGTGTTTCTCAATCTCGAGTAAAGCTGCTCCAGAGCCACTATTTCAAGCATACTACGTCATCGAGTGCCGCCGAAATCCTGTACCAATGTCCAGCATACTTGGAATTCTACCGAGCCCGGCGTACTTCGTTTGGAGACATTTCGAGCCTGCACATGAGTAGACTTTGCGGTCTTAAAATCCCCACAATGCTTTGCACACAGACCAATTTCCCCAAATCTGTGGCGGAAAATGTAAGGCGGGGCCTCTCAGATGACGCACACTTGCTCGCCTGTTCCATTCTTCGTTTTCCGAGGCTAGGAAGTATTCTTGCCTCGCTTCTGAAGCAAGCGTACTCGACATTGAGAAACACCCAGAGACTGTGCATGTGCATGCGGACATTTTCCCTTTTTCTTTTTCCCCCAGACAGCTTTATTTCTTCAAAGTCAGCTCCATTGCACCGGTGAGTGGATAAGGGGGAGAAGGTATGAAGAAGTGTGTTTGAAAGGGTGAGAGAGGAGTGGGCCGGAGAATATAGAAAGAGATAAGAGGACCAAGCAGAGAAGAGGAACAAGATGGGATCAGGAAATAATGGGGAGCAGATGAGGGAGAGCTCTTACTCTGTAGGAGCAGAAAGGGTCCTGACCTTTTTTCTGAAGACAGAAGGAATGTGAGGGAGGCAAAGATGGCATGAGGGTTCTTGAGTAGGTCAGAAGGAATGAAAGCACAGAAAAAGATGAAAGCACAGGAGGCACAAGGCAAGAAGTGGATGTTTACCATTTCACCCAAGTGACAAACGTAGCACTGCTTTTATCCCCCCCTTTTTTGTTGCCTTGCCGCCTACAGATGCTTCTCCAACAGTTTTCAAAGAATGTCATCTTCAAAAGACTTTTTTTTTAATCATTATTTTACATCTTTTTTTATTTGTACTTTTCTAAATTTTCACAAAAGCATTTTTATTTTATGTGTACAGTTCAAAGGTGATATCGTGTGTATATTACACATGTTTTTGATGGGGCCACTTGTGAAAACATGATTTCTTTCCCCCCCATACCCGACTACTGACTGAAACAACAAAGCAACACACAAAAAAGTGCGAACCCGAGAAGCAGAACAGACATTCTCATGATGGATGTCAGTGGACACTTTTGTTTTTGCCCTTTTCCCCGCCGGAGAGGAAACCCCGCAGTGTTTGTGTTTTTCTCCATCAAATGAATTTTGTTGTGGACATGTTCAAACGTCAAGAGCCGTTCAGGGCTGCCACAGCATCCGATTGGCAGAACAGCACCGCTCCAGAGTCCCTGATGACAAAAGTGCTTTTTCACTGCCTAAAGAATATTTGTGTATGTTTAAAGCACACTCTCGGTCTTTGGAAAATATTTTCCTTTTTGGGAGCTGATCTGTTTGACTTTGTCAACTTTCAGTGGTTTCTCATCATCACTTGTGCATCAAAACTGGTCCGTCTCAGAGCCACCGTGACATTTCAGTGTACAGTAGAGATAAAGAGAAAGAGAGAGACATGACATTGTGCCAAACTTTGACACCTAGTGGACTTTAAAGGGACATTCTGTCGAAGTTTACAGACAATGACTGAATGACTCCCTCTGCTGTTTGTATTTTCTTGTGTTTTGATCAGGTGAAGCCGTAATTATTGCTGGGGATCATGGGTAACATCTCCCTCCCATAGATGTACAGACCTGCCTCTCTGTGTTGGCTGAGCATGTGTGGGCGTGCTTGTGTAGGGACACATGTGTGCGTGCGTTTGTGTACGTGTGCATGTATGTGACAGGATGTGTGGCCCGTGTGTGTACACGTAAACTTGAGCGAGCGTATCTATGCATGCATGTGTAGTAGTGTGTGTGTGTGTGTGTGTGTGTGTGTGTGCCTCTGTTGCGTGTAAGTGCGTGTGTGTTCCTGTATAAATCAATGTCCAAACAAGGCATTCCTACCGACAGTTTGTCCAGTTTTACAACATGAAAAACCAAGGTAAAAATCACTAGAATGAATTGTTGATATAGAATGACAAATCTATGAATATATGAATATAAATATAAATATATATATAATTTTTATGTGCAGATGTCAGTGTCACTAAATGCAACAAATGTTCGCAGAGAAAAAAATGATTATGTGGTATACAACAGAACTCTTGTTCACTTGACCTGTACGTGGAAGCTGCTGATCGGGCCCCCCCCAACCCCCTCTCAATCGAGACAAAAGAGAAATCCCACCTGAAGATGCTCAGGCTCTGGTGCGAGTTGTGTGTTATTGTGTGTCCATGCTTCTTAGATGACCCTACTGAGAGACGACCGTACTTGAACACAAGGAAAATAAAAAGACTCTTTGCAATCAAACACCATTGTCTCCGCAACTGTTAATCATTTAATAACTGATGAAAATGTGTCAAACCCTTTCCTTAATTAGCAACTATGGGATGTTTTCTTCACATGTACACCGTATAAAGTGTTTTTCTCTCAAGCAAATCTGAATCATGTGGTGATGGTGTAGGTTAATCTGACACACTTTGATGGGTTTTAGCTTTATTCCCGTTTGCTCGTTCTTTCAGTCTCTTTTTTTGCTCAAAAGGACTTTAGGGGGCTTTGAAGAGTTAATAGCATGATGCCAGAACCATTACCCTCCCACAGACTTCCTATGGTTTCTGAGCATGACTTTTAAAAATGGTTCTGCAGAACACAAATTACAGGTATCAAAGTAATTTACATATCAGGTCAAACCAAGATATACTTACAATTGATGTCAATAAGGAGACAGTGTGGATGAACATGACTGACATATATAAAGCAATAATGTAATACACTTACCTTAAACAGCAGTGATAGGCATGTACAGGGGTTTCATATTTGAATGTTACGCTGCCTCTGAGTGACAGCATTGAGACCGGCTCATAGCGGTGTTAATAGTTTAAAACATGAGACGTAAAGCGAATTGAAGGGCTGCTACATCCATCAGCCTCTATTGTCACGTTAATGACAGTGGACCGACATGAAAGATCCACTAATGGCAATTCACGTGTTCCAAAATACCCATTTTTGTATTTTTCCCTTGCTTTGTTCCCTTTCTGCGTCGCCCCCTCCGACTTTGATCCCATTCATCCAATTATCCTGAGATTGAAGTGAACTTGAAGCATTAAATGAATGAGGCTGAGCAGCATTTGTTACCACCCATTGGAATTCATGTCTCCCCCTTCTCTCCCCCTGCCTTCTCCCTCTTTGATGCTTTTAGGCCTGTGAAATGTAGTGTTGGGTAATAACTCCATTGCATTGATTATTAGCCTTCACAATAGCCTCTTCTGTGTGAGCACAGTCCCATAGTGGAAGGCCGGTGTAACTTAATGTGGCATGAAAATAGCTCCTCAATTTCCCTCCGCACAGCCTCTCCAGAAAGCGCCCTGTTTCACCCTGCAGATGCCTCCGGCCTTCAATGTTTCACTCCTTCTCTCCCAGCTTTCTCTCCCTCTAATTCTCATTGCTTCCCTGCCCATTCAGCTGTCAAACACCTCTGGCAGGACTCAAAGGTGTGTGTGCGGGTGTACGCATGTATGTGCGTGCAGGGGCATGTCAGCAGAGAGCCAGTGGGGAAGATAGGTGAGACACAAAGTGAGATGTAAGGGAAAAGGGAGACTGAGGTGTAGAGGGGAGCAGGTGGAGGGTCTGTGATATATACTCTGAGGATTTGAGTGTGAAATCAATTTGGGTTTAAGAAGAAATAAGGCTCCATGGAGCCACTGTTTGCCACAGATAGACCTGGAGAAATGAATGTTCTCGTTTGAAAGGGAAGGGTGGAGCCTGAAGGAAGGTGAAAGAAGGAAGAGTAGGTTGGAGGATAATGGAAAGGTAGGAAAAGAATAGGGAAGGACAGGGAGACTTTTAACAGTATGGAGAAAATGTAGGAATTATATAGCGAAAAACATGAGAAGCATCAGTACTCAAACCATTAACCTTAATAACCTTATATTATAAAATAAGTATGTGCAAATCAGCACATTTAAAGAAATCACATAGCAGTAAGAGCAATACGTTGATTTATTACTTACATTTTAACTCAATTGCAGGTCGCATAGCTTTTCCAGCGAGAACAACAGCCTGGTTAATAAAAGACACTTCCAACCAAAAAATAAAAGCACTGATCAGGCTTTTTCCCTACAAATAACCTGTTTTATACTGCAGGGAATGATGGTTGGATTGCTAAAAAGAAGATGTTTGGCTCCTGTTTTACTGGCCAAGAGTGTGTGCTGAGCTTTGCCTCTTCATGGAGATGACTGAGAGGCTGCGCCCGTAGGTAAAGAGAAGGATGGAGTGAAGAGGAAAATTACAGAGGACTAAGATGAGAGACGATTGAAGGGATCAGGTATGGAGAGGAGAAGTAATATAAACAGGCTTTTTCAGACAAAAAAAGCCCAGAAAGAGGTCCTCCCAAATCCCCACTTATTTGAATCGAGTACATCACTTTTCATTTCTCGTTCCCTCTGCTGTCATAAAGTCTGCTGCATTTCCTTTCTAAGCAACAGAAGAAGACAAAGATATGTCAGAGGGCCTCACAGCGAGATGTTAACTGCTGTTTGACATGGGTGTTATCATGGTTCACTTACACCTGTGGGATGTGGTAGGATGTTTTAATTTGATCCTTGCCAAGAACTCTTTCACACAGCACTAAGACTGAACAGTGCTGATTAAGCCATCCGAAAATAGCCTCAGAAAATCAGCAGTGAGAAATCTTTGTGAAGAACTCTGCAGGAATAACAAGTCTGAACAAAAAGCTCACAGTTTTGATTAAACGTTAGTGATTGAAGATATTTTATGTGAGGATGTGAAAATTACATGTAGGGATGTTATTGATTTTAATTAGTTGACACTGTGTTCTTATTTCCTGTATTTCCCTTGTTAATCCCAGGGGCGGACAGTCAAGCCCCCATTCTGCGGAAAATGTAGGTGCACTGCCTGGTGAAATTAGCTAAATGCTAACATCAGCATACAGTCAAGCTCACAATGACAATGCTAATGTGCAGTAAGAAGAAATCTAACCATGGGTACTATCTTCAGGGCCTTTCACACATGCAATGAAAACAACTACACGCCCTCATTGTATGTGAGAACGTACTTCACCCTACCGGGTCTTTAGTAATCTGATTGAGCTCATGTGTGGATAGAGCCAATCAGTGTCACATTGAGGGAGGGTGTGTTTATGAGATTTATGTTGCAGCTGACGTGAAAAGAGAATAAAACAAACATCCAAAAGTCAGAAGAATATACATTTATAAAAAAAATGCCATTGAAAATGTCTTACAGTACTTGAAAGACACAACATTTGGGATTTCAAAGAAAGGCAGGAGACACTGTTCAGATACTAGGCGGCATTGGAACCGTCATGTTGTCCGCATCCAGTGGCGAGCCGTGAGCTTTATACCTAGGCCCTCTGACCCCCACCCCTTCCCTCAAAAAAAATAAAAAATAAAAGAGTTATTATGTCACAGCGTATACTTCAGCGGAATATCAAAACAACGGCCCAGGGTGCAAAACGCATCAATGACAGCGACCCTCTACCACACAAAACAACACCTGTGAACCCAATTTGTGTTCTTTGACATTGAAAATGATATTGCATTGTGTTTGTTACTTTCATTGCAGTTGTATGTCTTAAGTGTAATTTGGCATGCTTTTATTTTGAAGGCGAGTTCACGCTGTTGACAGGAAGTTGTTGTTGCTATGGAAACAAGAAAAGTTTCACAGCGGGCGGAACTCGTCATAAAGTCCGCGATAATAAAACCCACCCATTTAGAGGGATGATATGATTGGTCAATTGTACTGTCATTTGACATTACTCTCTCGTTCAGTTACTATAGCGGGCCCTCTGTGAATCGCAGAGAGGCCCGCTATAGTAACTGACATTCAAACAGAGACTGAACAGGCAGATTCGAAGGATTTATTTCTTTGGAAATGTTATTTTATTAAATCAAGTTTTTTTTCGGTAAAACTAATGAAAAATATAACCAAAATAATATTTAAAAAATATATATTTTAAAATGTTTTTAAATATTAGTTTTTGGAATATTTTAGGCCCTCACAGAGGGCCTAGAGGGCCCTGACGGCTCGCCACTGTCCGCATCATGTGCTGTCTCCTGCAGTCATACCCCTCACCTAAACCACAAAGTACCAGTTACTCAGAACACTTAGAATCTCCTGTTGTGTTCTACATATGTGGAACAGAAACTCAGGACATTGGCTAAAAATATAATATACCTTAGATAGCATGTCAGCATTGAATGCAAAAGTTTGAGTGGCTTTGTGAACAACTTCTAACCTTAGAGAACCTGTTTCAGCATAAACCTGTGCACACAGAGAAATAGACAGTAGATTTGTCCTTAATTAACACTGCAGGCCCTGAATTCGATCCAGTATGCAGAACAAAGCACAACCAGGACACCTTTCATCATGCTGAACAGAACACATCAATAAAAGCTAAAACCATACCGAGATGAATGAGTATTTGAACTCTCATGTCTCTGTGGTGTCATTAAAATGATGGCTACCTCGGGTGCACCCTGTCTTGAAGCAGCTTGAGGACTACTGTCACAGTGAGTATGTTCCTTTTCTAAAATGAGCAAATTTAGCATTTGATTTACTGTTTCACTAAACTTGACCTCAGACTCCTTGTGGAGGAGGAACACAGCAAAGGGAGAAAACCTGCGCTGATCGATAAAGCATTGCATTATTGTTAATCAATCTGCTTGCTGCAGCGCTTCTTCTTCTCTTTCCTGTCCTGACTTTTCACCCTGTGTCAGTTTGACTTTGAGATACATGGACACATGCATCAAAGTGTACACTTATGGAATGGTTCTCTGTCACATGCACACCCCCACATGAGCACACACACACACACACACCATAAGGCGCCCTTGTCAGGTATCGAATAGTCAATGCTGCAGAGCAGAGAAGAAGCCTTGCCTATTCATGTGTGATAGTGCAGCAGAGGACCCAGCTGGCTCCCACAGAGCTCCGGCATGTGTGTGTGGTGTGTGTAAGAGAGGGAGAGAAAAGCAGAGATTTTGTATGTGTCGGAGGCATGATTGCATGTGTGTGAGAGAACAAATGTGTGTGTATGTGTGTATACACACCTGTCAGTTTGAGAAAACTCACTCACCTGTGACGTCCTCATTCTGTCTCTCTGTAAGCCGTCTCTGAGAGTGCTCCTCTCAAAGGCCCAGGCAACACACACACACACACACACACACACACACACACACACACACACACACACACACACACACACACACACACACACACACACACACACACACACACACACACACACACACAGTCATATCAGCCATG